ACATCTGTGATATTTTGGCATTCGAAATCAGTAGTTAATCAGACCCGCCCAAGAGATATTAAGGAACTAAAGAAATAACAAAATATGAATTCAGGAAAATGACAGGAAAATCTCCGCCATGTTAATGTATCCGGTAGGCACAGAATTGAAATCTCTTCGGAAAAAAAAAATCGGGGACCTTTTCAACAGCACATATAACAATTAACAATTAAAAAGCTAGGAAATAACATTTTCATGTGTAATTATACCTTTAATAAATTATCACTGTACCTTTTACTATCCTGTTCATTTTATCATCTGTACATTTTACCAACCTATACATTTTACCATCCTGTACATTTTACCATCTGTATATTTTACGATCTGTACATTTTACCATCCTGTACATTTTACCATCTGTACATTTTGCCATCCTATACATTTTACCATCTTGTACATTTTACCATCCTGTACATTTTACTATCTGTACATTTTACGATCTGTATATTTTACGATCTGTACATTTTACCATCCTGTACATTTTACCATCTGTACATTTTGCCATCCTATACATTTTACCATCCTGTACATTTTACGATCTGTATATTTTACCATCTGTACATTTTACCATCTGTACATTTTACTATCTGTACATTTTACCATCCTGTACATTTTACCATCTGTATATTGTACTATTTGTACATTTTACCATCCTGTACATCTTTTATTCGAATCCTTTTAAGACGATGTATTTTTTGAAATAGCGTAGAAGAATATGACATATTTTATGGCTTGATTATTCATTTTCTCCAAGGATCAGATAAAACCTATCGATACTGGAATCAAAAGACATCTTTCAAATGCATTACCCTTTAAATGGGGGGCGTCGTCAATTGATGTCTCATTGAAGATTAGTTGATATCATCAGTTAATGATTTGGACTTATTTCCAATGATACGGGTGGAATTCTTTCATTATTTTAATATAAATGACTAATCGGTAACTGTAGGATTCATGAGGTTACTATTTACTAGAATTCATGAGGGTAATTCATTTCCTGGAATGTTTCCCTGCAAATAAAGTTGGAATGGCAAGCCAAAGACAACGGTGGCACGGCATGCGTACTTTTCGAATGGAAAAAAAAAGGCCAAAAGACAACTCGGCGCAAAGAACGAGAAATTTCTCTCTGTAGAGATGACGTCAAAGTGAATTTTAAGCATTTCATTCCAAGAAAAGCACTAACGCCACTAAGACGCATGGGGTTACTGTGTGTGACAGAATGAGAAAAAAAAAAGAATTATTAAGGAGCAAGAACAACAAAAGAATAGAAATTAAGAAGATAGAAGATAACGATTGACATTGCGTTTAAATTTTTGAAGATCAAAGGCAATAAAGCCACTAAGATGCAAGGGGTTACTGAGTGTTAGAGAATATGAGAAAACCTACTATTAAGGAGGGAGGACAATAAAAGAACTGTAATTAAGAAGACAGAAGATAACGATTGACATTGTATTTAAATTTTTGAAGATCAAAGGCAATAAAGCCACTAGGATGCAAGGGGGTTACTGAATTGTTAGAGAATATGAGAAAACCTACTATTAATGAGAGAGGACAATAAAAGAACTGGAATTAAGAAGAAAGAAGATAACGATTGACAATGCATTTAAATTTTGGAAGGCAATAAAGCCACTAGGATGGAAGGGTGTTACTGAGTTGTTAGAGAATATGAGAAAAAACTACTATTAATGAGAGAGGACAATAAAAGAACTGGAATTAAGAAGACAGAAGATAACGATTGATATTGCATTTAAATTTTTGAAGATCAAAATTGTCTGGAAAGCAAGAAGCCATAAGAGCGTTCAGCAAGCTAGAAGAGCGAAAGAAGAAACTTTTAGCATAGAACTTGCGGTTACATCTGACCAATTCAACTGTAAAATAATGGAATCTTGCTGCCAATCTAGTCCTGCACGGAAGATGAGAGTCTTGGAACCACGACATTTACACCTGACGGCATAATTCTGTTGTAGAGTCGATTAATAAAAATGGTTCTTCCGGGCTGATAAACTTCATTATCATTCATTTTCTTTCGAACAATTTTCCTTTTCATCCGGTGATCCTGTATTATGGCTAATCTTTTTATGTTCTCGACAAGACTTTTCGCAGACATTATTATTATTATTATTATTATTATTATTATTATTATATTGTATATTACTACGATCTTTCCGGGTCCCACCCACAGACCTAAGGTCAGAAATGGCTTCACTGAATCATTCCCACTGATCATTTTTGTAAAAAAATAAAATCTAAGTTCACACACATTTTACCTAGATACAAATCTTCGTAATATTTGAGCTGTACTTGTGAATACGATATTTTGTGTTTCTTTAAATCATGATCGACCAGGAATCGCTTCAATGAGTCAATTCGAATCTTTTCCAATCAATCCGAGGGCTCCAACTACAACTGAAATTGTTAATGTCTTCATTCGCCACATTTTTGAGATTTCGATTTCAAGGTTCTTGTATTTTGGATAGTTTTTTTTTTTTTTTGAAAATCTTCAAAGATACATTGCAGTCTGCAGGGATTGCTATGTCAATGAGGAGGCACATTTTGTCTTTGCGGTCTCTAATCAAGATGTCAGGGCGGTTAGTTTTGATTGTTTTGTCTGTTTGTATAGCAAAGTCTCATAAAGTTGTTACAGGTCCTATCTCCGTGTACCAGTTTCCTTCATTTTCCTTTCAGTAAAGGTTGCAGATTTTCCAGTGCAGATATTGGCCAAATCTGTCGTGCCGTGTTGATTATGCAGTGGGTGCCAATACCGTGCAACCTGATACCAGATGGTCAATTGTTTCTGGATATTTATCACAGAATCTGCATTTTGGACTAACAGAATCCCTTCTATGAGTCTGTCGCAAGCTTTTGCAGTCAATCCGTGGACTCAGTATACAACTGGTATTACTGATTTCCTCTAGTGGCACATTTTTGAGATTTCCATTTCAAGATTCTTGTATTTTGATAGGTTTGTTTTGTAGATCTTCAAAAATACATTGTAATCTGCAGGGACTGTCATGTCAACAAGAAAGAACATTTATTTTGTGGTCTCTGATCACGATGCGATGCCTGGGTGATTAGCTTTGATTGTTCTGTGTGGGTGTATTGTAAAAACCCATAAAATAGTTACAGGTCCTACCTCTGTAACCGGATCTGGGTGATGTTCATGCCAGTTTCTTGCAGTTTCCTTCCCGTAAAAGTTGCTTACTTTCCAGTGCAGATATTGGCCCTCTCTATTATGCCGAGTTTTATATTCAGTGGGTGCTAACACCATGCAACCTGATACAAGATGGTCAATTGTTTCTGGAGATTTATCACAGAATCTGCATTTGGGGTCAACACAATTTTTCAGTCTATGTGCTTGGTAATTCATATTTAACAAGCATTGGTCCTTTGAAGCAAGAATAAAACCTTCGCTTTCAGCTTTTAACCCTGTACTACGTAACCAGTGATGGATAAGGGGTTTGTCTACATCAGTTTGTTTAGTATGGGCGATGTATTGACCATAAAGCGGCTTATCTTGCTATCATTTCTGCATTTGGTCCATTTCATTTGCTTTGGCTTTCTTTTTTTATGTTCTTTGCCGCTGCAGTCGGTGTATTTTAATTTACTTGCACTTCATCACCTATTTGAAACTCCATTTTGAACTTGTTGGCTTCCTTTATTACTGAATAAGGTTTCTTCTTTTTTTCTTTCTTTCTTGCTCCTTTTTCCTCTCCTTTTTCTTCTCATTTTTCTTCTTCTTCTTCTTATTATTATTATTTCCTTTGATTTCTGTTGTATACACATTCCCTTCTGGATCCCAACCAGAGACCTAAGGTCAGAAATGGCTTCTTTTCCATTGAACGTTTTTAAACATAAGATCAAACACTTTACACAGAGAAAGCCCTTCGTAAGGTGTGAGCTGTATTTTTTTTTATTTCTTTAAGGCATAGGCTACCATTATTATTATTATTATTATTATTATTATTATTATTATTATTATTTCCTTTGATTTCTGTTGTATACACATTTCCATCCGGGTCCCAACCAGAAATGGTTTCATGACATTTTCCACTGGTCATTTTAATAAAAAGAAAATTTGTTAAAACTTAAGATTTCACACAACTCCTATCATTGTTTAATCACAATAAAAACTTTCTCGGGGGTATTATATGCCACATTTTCCCGATTATCCTTGTCCTTTACAGTTTTTTTTTCGGTATTATGACTGTCCCTGGCAGTACTTTTTTCGGTATTATGACTGTTTTGGGCAGTACTCTTTTCGGTATTATGACTGTCCCGGCAGTACTCTTTTTTCGGTATTATGACTGTCCCGGGCAGTACACTTTTTCGGTATTATGACTGTCCTGAGCAGTACTCTTTTTTCGGTATTATGACTGTCCCGAGCAGTTTTTTACTATTTTTTTTTTCGGTATTATGACTGTCCCGAGCAGTACTCTTTCTCGCTATTATGACTGTCCCGAGCAGTACTCTTTTTCGGTATTATGACTGTCCCGAGCAGTACTCTTTTTCGGTATTATGACTGTCCCGGGCAGTACTCTTTTTCGGTATTATGACTGAGCGGTTCGAGCAGTACTCTTTTTCGGTATTATGACTTAATCGAGCAGTACTCTTTTTTGGTATTATGACTGTCCTGGCAGTACTCTTTTTTTTCGGTATTATGACTGTCCCGGCAGTACTCTTTCTCGCTATTATGACTGTCGAGAGCAGTACTTTTTTCGCTATTATGACTGTCCCGAGCAGTACTCTTTTTTGGTATTATGACTGTCCCGGGCAGTACTCTTTTTCGGTATTATGACTGTCCCGGGCAGTACTCTTTCTCGCTATTATGACTGTCCCGAGCAGTACTCTTTCTCGCTATTATGACTGTCCCGAGCAGTACTCTTTTTCGGTATTATGACTGTCCAGAGCAGTACTCTTTCTCGGTATTATGACTGTCCCGAGCAGTACTCTTTTTCGGTATTATGACTGTCCAGAGCAGTACTCTTTTTCGGTATTATGACTGTCCAGAGCAGTACTCTTTTTCGGTATTATGTCTGTCCAGAGCAGTACTCTTTTTCGGTATTATGACTGTCCCGAGCAGTACTCTTTTTCGGTATTATGACTGTCCCGAGCAGTACTCTTTTTCGGTATTATGACTGTCCCGAGCAGTACTCTTTTTCGGTATTATGACTGTCCCGAGCAGTACTCTTTTTCGATATTATGACTGTCCCGGGCAGTACTCTTTCTCGGTATTATGACTGTCTCAAGCTGTACTCTTTCTGAAGTATTTCAGTTTGAATCACAGTTGCAGCTTAAGTCATTTCTGGATTTAGTCCACAATTCATAAATTTACTAACAAGTTGATTTACCTCCCTTCCCGCTACAGATGGGACAGGAAATATATAAATAGATACACATTGATAATCATTATATGTTTTCATTATAATTATGCATAATCCAAAAAAAAATTGTTACAGGCCCTGTTTCTCCAACAGGGTCTTGCTGATAGTTATACCAGTTTTTTTGCAGTTTTCATCCCGTAAATGTTCCATATTTTCCAGTGCAGATATTGACCCACTTTATCATGCTGAATTTTATATTTAGTAGGTGCCAATACCACGCAACCTGATACAAGATGGTCAATTGTTTATCACAGAATCTGCATTTGGGGTCAACACAATTTTTTATTAAGTGTGCTTGGTAAATTCTAGTTAGCAAGCATTGGTCTTGTGCAGCAAGAATAAAACCTTCGGTTTCAGCTTTTAACCCTGCACTACTTAATACTGATGCGGACAGTGTTTGTCTACATGAGGATACCATTAATAATTCCCTAAAAACAGTATAGCATGATGATAAAAGGCCCCAAACTTAATAAAAACAAAGATTTATCGTCAAAATGTTTATGTTATTATTAAGAGGAAAGGAAGTTGTTTTTTTTATTATTTTTTAAAATTTAATTATTTTAAAATATTTCCCCCTTTCTAACACGTTCTAAATTTGGGTAAAAAAAAACGAGTTTTTTTTTCATCAACTTTGTAAGACTTGTGTTCATGGACATTTTAGTGTAGCAGTTTCAGGTGAAAACACACTAAATTGGAAATTCTTGCAAAAACCAAATAATTTCCTGATTTTAATGAAACTTTCAATGCTTATTCAAAAATGAATGAATTTATTTTTCAAATTTTTACTTTTAGAAAATCTTGCTAAAATATTTTTTTTACATCTGTTACACCCCAAAGCATGTAACTTAATTTCATAAAATTTTCTAAAATTTCAAAAAGTCCTGAAATTGTTTTATACTACTTATAAGCAGGATTCCTTGGAGAAAGAATATCAATTTTTTTTTTCACAACTACTCTCAACTTTTCAAAAATCTGCTCCAAATTGTGAAATAAAAACTGCAATAAATTATGTAATTAGATCGGCTTTTATTTGCTTTTATAAATAATATACATTAAGGACATTAATTATTGTCTGAAGAAAAAAAACATCGGTGAATAATGAATTTTTACAAGAATTATTTACATTTTTCTTTTAGTTTTACAAGAATTGTTTTCGTTTTTCTTTAAGTTTAAAAAAATATTTTAAAATTCTTTCAAAAAGAGTACGAGGTATGGTCATTAAGTTATTAATTGAAGACTATATTTACTAACCGAAAATTAAAAGCTTAATACAAATCACACTCCCAAAACTTTTTACCATAATTAAAGATATTTTTTGTGCGCCAAAATGTTACTCTTTTTTAACAGGTTATATCGTAAGTGATATTATGGTTAAAAGGTCACTTGTTTCAAGGCTTGTCCACCTTAGGAGAAACTCCTTGACATACAAAAGTCTTCGGCTGCGCGCAATTCTGTCATTTCACTCTCATTTATTAAAATGATAACAAATAATAATTTTATTAATTATATTATCTCAGTTATTAAATTAAAATTTGAATTATTGAGCTAATATTAATAAAATTATATCTCAGTTACCAATGTAAAATGTAATAACTGAGAGTGAGATAATTTAATTATTAATATAATAATTAATAATTTTATTTATTATTATATCTCAGTTATTAAATTAAAAGTATAACTGATAATATAATAATTAATAAAATTATTTATCATAGTTAAATACCATTATAGAAGTAACTCAATAGCTTAAGAAATTTTTATAGTACTTTAAATTATTATAAGAACGCATTTTTAAAATTAACTAAAACATCAGTAAAATATTAGATAATGGCTTAAAATATTTTAATTTTTAAACATTACCTTGTAGTTAAAAAACAAGAACAAACCGTTCTTACTTATAATTCATAAATTTGTGTCGATTCTGGTCCACCATACTAAACCTGTCAACACTTTCGGCCATCAAATTATCGATGAAAACATGAGAATAGCAAGATCTGGTGAAGAAATGCTTATCTAGAAAAAAAAGTCCGTAATATTTGTTTCAAAACAGATTAATATAACTTTAAATTTGATAATTTTACGAAAGTAACGTTTCAGAAATATATATTATATTTTAGGCGGATTTTTTAAAATATGAATTAAGTTTTGTTCACATTTCTCTGAAAAACTTAAAAATGGCCGTTTCGATTGGTTTTTCAGAGGAATTGGCTAAAAATCATTATAATTTCTCTATTTGAAATACACTGCAGTATTTTGTTTTAGAAAATTTAATCATTTAGCTTTCAATTGAAGCTGGGGGAAAGTTTCAAAAATGATTCTTCATTTTTGAAAAATACCTTTAAACCTTAGGTATAGCGAATTTTTGGCGGTACCTAGATCCATCAGCTTACTTTCTCCTTCATATACTCTGTAACCCTCTACCTCAACGGCCTCTCAAGCCTTGTACAGGGTAAACGTCATTGTAAAAAAAAGTATGTTTCTGACCAGTCTACTGCCCTTTGCGTTTAACATTGTTGTAAATAACCAATTTTAATCGGTTGTTCTAATATAATCAAGAAATGGTTCGATAGACTGGTACATTAGTCATTACAATTGGCTTCCTAAAATGGATAATACTTATAACAACTTAATCAGGTGTATTTTAATCTGAGATTAACAGATCTGAAGATTAATAGATGGGAAATATATTTTTCCAGAAATGTATTTCTGGAAGAAAGAATTTCTAGAAACAGGATAAAGATTAAAGGAGTGAATGATAAGAAAGAGAGAGAAAGATAAGAAAATGAGAGTGGAGATTAAAATCAAGAGAAAAGAAGAAAGTTTAAATAATAGAGCCTCATTATTCTTATGGATTCTAACCGCAGTAGCAGCAGCAGCAGCAGCAACAGCAGCAGCAGACACAATCTTTGAAATCGAATAAATGACGCCTTGAGTCGATAAAACGAAAAATATTTCAGGTTTTATTTATCGTTTGACTCATTAAATTATTTCATAAATTCTTTTTATTCCTTTTACTTTCCGCGTCGTTTAAAATACATACTTTTGTTATATTTCGACCATCAAGATATTTTTTTATTTTCTTTCTTTTTCATTTTTACATTTTGACCTTCTTTCTTTCTTTCTTTCTTTCTTTCTTTGATTGTTTGATTCTTTCTTTCTTTCTTACACATTGTCTTTACTTATCTTTCATTTTTCTTTTTTATTATCGTTATTCATTTTCTTTCTTTTTTCTTACTTTCTTTCGTTATCCATTTTCTTTCTTTCTTATTGACGTTCTTTTTTTTCATTAACTTATTTCCATTTCTTTTCGCTTATTTTTTATTCATTTTCTTTTTCCTTTTCCTTTTCTTTCCTACTGACTTTATTCATTTTCTTTCCTTCTTTTTTATTGTCTTTATTCATCTTCGTTCTTTCTTTCTTTCTTGTTGAATTTGTTAACTTACTTTCTTTCTTATTGTCGTTATCCATTTTCTTTCTTTCTTATTGACTTCAACATAACATCAACATAATCGTTTTTTTTTATTTTCTCTTTCTTTCATTTGTCCATTTTGTCTTCTCATTTCTTTCTTTCAGTCGTTGTTTCTTTCTTTTTTGTTTCCTTCTTACACATTCTCTTCGCTTTCCTTTTTCACTTATTTCGTTTCTGTCTTTTTAATGTTCTTTTCCAACGTATTGTCGTTAATCATTTTTTTTTTTTTCGTTATTATCTTTATTCATTTTCCCTCTTTCCTTTTAGAGACTTTATTGCCTTTTTGTATCTTTTTTCTTTTCGCGTATAGCTTTAATAATTTTCTTTCTCTTTTATTGACTTCTTACTTTCGTTTTATCTCACGTTTCTTTTTCTTTTCGCTTTTTGATGCATTCATTTTATTTCTTATTTCCTTTCTTTTTTTTCCCCTTTCAATTTTTAATTTCTTCCCTCATTTCTGACTTCATTCACTTCCTTTCCTTCCTTATATCTTATTGTCTTTGATTTTTTTTCGTTTATTTTCGTTGTTTTCCTTCTTTCTTCTTTTTGATTGTTTCTTTATTCCTTTCTGTTTTTGCCCACTTTTTTTAAATATTGCTTTATGTTGTTTGTTTTATTGTTTTATTTAATGTCTTCCTTATTGTTTTGAAATACTTTCCTTTTTACTTATTGTCTTTTTCATTTTCTTTCCTTCTTTCTTTTATTCCTGTCTCTCTTATTGTGTTTATTTTCTTTCTTTCTTTCTTTCTTTCTTTCTTTCTTTCTTTCTTTCTTTCTTTCTTTCTTTCTTTCTTGTTGTCTTTATTCTTTTTTCTTCCTTTTCTTTCTTTCTAATTGTCGTTAATCATTTTCTTTCCTTCTTTTTTCTTTCTCATCATCTTTATTAATTTTCTTTCTAATCGTTTTCATTTTCTTTCTTTCTTTCTTTTTAATCGTCTTTATTTGCCTTCTTTCCTTCTTTCTATCTTATTGTATATAATCATTTTCTTTCTTTCTTTCTTTTTAATCGTCTTTATTTGCTTTCTTTCCTTCTTTCTATCTTATTGTATATAATCATTTTCTTTCTTTCTTTCTTTTTAATCGTCTTTATTTGCCTTCTTTCCTTCTTTCTATCTTATTGTATATAATCATTTTCTTTCTTTCTTTCTTTCTTTTTAATTGCCATTAATCTTTTTCTTGCATTTCTTTTTCTTTCTAATCATCTTTATTCATTTTCTTTCTTTATAATTGTTTTCATTTTCTTTCTTTCTTTCTTTCTTTCTTTCTTTCTTTCTTTCTTTCTAATCGTCTTCATTTGCCTTCTTTCCTTCTTTCTATTTTTTGTCTTTATTCATTTTCTTTCTTTCTTTCTTTTTTCTTTCTTTTTAATCGTCTTCATTTGTCTTCTTTCCTTCTTTCTATTTTATTATCTTCATTCATTTTCTTTCTTTCTTTCTTTCTTTCTTTCTTTCTTTCTTTCTTTCTAATCGTATTCATTTGTCTTCTTTTCTTCTTTCTATTTTATTATCTTCATTCATTTTCTTTCTCTCTTTCTTTCTTTCTTTCTTTCTTTCTTTCTAATCGTATTCATTTGTCTTCTTTCCTTCTTTCTATTTTTTGTCTTTATTCATTTTCTTTCTTTCTTTTTTCTTTCTTTTTAATCGTCTTCATTTGTCTTCTTTCCTTCTTTCTATTTTATTATCTTCTTTCTTTCTTTCTTTCTTTCTTTCTTTCTTTCTTTCTTTCTTTCTTTCTTGGCTTCGTTCCTCCGCTCCCTTTTATTACTTCATTTTCTCCGAATTTTCCGTCTCTTTTATCCTAATGCAATTTTTATTGCCGGCCATTTTCTTCCTTCAATCTCCCGGGATTATTTTACAAGTGGATTGGAGGCATTTACAAAATAATAATTTTAAATGTTTTATTCCATAAATCCCCTATTCATAAATTCGTCCATTCATAAATTTATTCATTTCTTTAATGGGAAAAATGCCCACTTAACTACCAGTGTCCTTCTTTTTTTTGTTTTCTTCCCCTGTTGTTCAGTGTGTCTGGTCGGAGACGAAACAAAAATAATTTTCAAATATACAGAAAATCATAATGTGGTTTCATTTATGGAGGTGTCGGGGGCAGAGACTCCGTGTCATGTTGTGTAAAACGAAAAAGAAGTCCCCTATCACAGAGAGAGAGAGAGAGAGAGAGAGAGAGAGAGAGAGAGAGAGAGAATGAGAGAGTGAGTAAGAGAGAGAGATTGAGAGAGATAGTGAGAGAGATAGTAAGAGAAAGAGATAGAGAGAGTGAGACAGTGAGAGAGAGAGAGAGAGTAATAGAGAGAGATTGAGAGAGATATTGAGAGAAAGAAATGGAGAAAGTTAGAGAGCGTAAGAGAGTGTGTGTGAGAGAGATAGAGACTGAGAGAAAGAGATGTAGAGAGTGAGAGAGAGAGAGTAAGAGAGAGTGTGTGCGCGAGAGAGTGAAAGAGAAAGAGACTGAGATAGTGACAGAAAGTAAGAGTGGATAGTGAAAGAGATTGAGAGAGTGAGAGCGAGTGAATAAGAGAGGGAGAGTATGCAAGAATTTGAGAGTGATAGTGAAAGAGACCGAGAGAGTGACAGAGAGTAAGAGAGAGAGAGAGTGAAAGAGAGAGGTAGAGAAAGCGATTGAGAGAGTGAGAGAGAGTGAGTAAGAGAGAATGTGTGAGAGAATGAGATAGATAGAGAATGAGAGAAAGAGATTGAGACAGTGAGAGAGAGTGAGTAAGGGAGAATGAGAGAAAGAGAGAGTGAGATAAGAAAGAGATTGAAACGGATATTTATATGGAAATAACATCCATTTCCTCCCACCTATTCTTTCATTCATCATTTTAACAGTAACCCTTTACCTTGAGTGACTCTCGAGCCTTGTATCGGGCGAAAAGTTCATTAAAACTGTTATTGTTTAACATTTTTTCCTTTCAATTCTCGTGAAAAGAAAGTATAAATCCTGCAAACTATTTTTGTGCTTTTATTTATTAACTGTTTTCATTTTTTACGGCTTATCAACCTTTTGGAGGTTACTTAATGCTAGAAAATATTTTAGTTTGCAAAATTGTTTTAATTAGATAATAATGATTTCGTGATACATATTTTACTAATTAACCCATAGCTGGGGAGAGAGAAACGCTGGATTCATAACATTTCTAAGGCTATTTGCGCGTAAGTGAATATAACGGACCCAATCTAATCAATTGACAATTAACAGTTCAGAGCCATTATCCATTAAAACATCAGCACATCCAAGCTTACAGCGGTCACCCATCTAAATATTGGCCTGTCACGACGTTGCTTACCATTGGCGATCGTATTAGAACCGGTGCTACAACGAGATGTAGTCATAAGAACAGTAAACCTAACCAAACATCCAAGGTTACAGCACCTGATATTTACAAGACGTCACCATCTATGTACTGACCAGGCTCGACGTTGCTTAACTTCCGTAATCCTACAAGAACGGGTGTTTCAAAGTGATATGTCTGTAAATATATAAAACCATCCGAACATCCAAGGTTTCTGCACCTGATATTTCCAAGCGGTCACCCATCTAAGTACTGACCAGGCTCGACTTGCTTAACTTCAGTGATCGTACGAGAACCGATGTTGCAACGTGATATGTCCATATTCACATTAAGCCACATGCACATCCAAGCTTACAGCACCTGATATTTCCAAGCGGTCACCCATCTATTTACTGACCAGGCTCGACGTTGCTTAACTACGGTGATCACACGAGAACCGATGTTTCAACGTCATATAGCCGTAGGCACATTAACGCCCCCCACCCACGTCCAAGCTTACGGTACCTGATATTTCCAAGCGGTCACCCATCTAGGTACTGACCAGGCTTGACGTTGCTTAACATTGCTGATACCGACATATGAAGCTTGTCAATATCCCTTTGTTCCTGTTTAGGGTTACGTTTCCGGTTCCTTCTAAAGTCTACTTCAACTCTGTACTTCTCCCGCTGAACGATGCAATTTTATTTACAGATACTTTTTATTTCTATCTTTATTTCCAAGATGAGGTATTGTAACTATTTACACTCTTTACATTGTTCGGACTGTTATCTTCATCTTTATTGTCAATAGTTGTGATGATTTGAAAGCCTACAGTATAGGCCAACAATTTGGATCCCTCCCTCTGAATTGAATAATTAGTCAGTTCCATGCCTTCTTTGTTTTTATTAACTCTTCCTAAGCTAGGATGCTAAAATTATTTCAACCAATTGAATTCATGGCGTCCATTTTTTTTGAGAGAGAGGATTAGCTAAAATTTCAAATACGCCAGACATAAGATTATTATTAGCCAACAAATTAGATTATTCAAAAAGAGGTACAATTTTAAGATGGATTACTTTCACTATTATTATTATTGAAAATATGACAAAAGCCTTGAAGAACCTTCTGGCTCGAAGTGAGCTGGTAAAATTAATTTTGAAAATGTTGCTAAGCTTCCAATTTTCAGGCGATTCTTCGAAATCCAGAGGTTAACCCCAAATTGAAGGCCCAGATTCTATATACTTATAAACAGAAGATTCTAACCTGAAGCCATACACCTATTTACCAACAAAATACTAACGTAATACATGAGCGGTAATCAGAACAATACCAAGGACATTATGTCGTTGGTACAGAGGAACTACATTCCTTCCATCCTGAGTATGACGATAAACTACATCCGCGTGCTGGGTAAGACGATAAACAACATCCGCGTCCTGAGTATGACGATTAACTACATCCGCGTGCCGGGTAAGACGAAAAAATACATCCACGACCTAGGTAAGACGATAAACTACATCCGTGTCCTGGGTATGACCATAAACTGCATCCGCTTCCTGGGTATGACGATAAACTACATCCGCGTCTTGGGTAAGACGATAAACTACATCCGCGTGCCGGGTAAGACGATAAAATACATCTGTGTCCTGCGTAAGACGATAAACTATATCCGCGGGCCGGGTAAGACGATAAACTACATCCGCGTGCCGGTTAAGACGAAAAAATACACCCGCGACCTGGGTAAGACGATAAACTGCATCTGCGTCCTGGGTATAACGATAAACTGCATCCGCGTCCTGGGTATGACGATAAACTACATCCGCGTCCTGGGTAAGACGATAAACTACATCCGCGTCCTGGGTAAGACGATAAACTGCATCTGCGTCCTGGGTATGACGATAAACTGCATCCGCGTCCTGGGTATGACGATAAACTACATCCGCGTCCTGGGTAAGACGATAAACTACATCCGCGTCCTGGGTAAGACGATAAACTACATCCGACAGCAAGGCCTCCGATTAGGAGGCTTTGAGGAGCGTGGAACCATCTCTTAATTGCTTGTGTTCCCAGGTCCAACTTAACCCGGGGTGGTAACACCTGTTATTGTCACAACTGTGTGTAAATAGTTAACTCCCAAATTGGGGTCAAAACACCGTAACAGTGTAAAAATTG